TTAGGCCCCATGAGAATACGGCTCCCATGTGAAGGCAGGGTTGGAAGGCAGGAGGTGAGGACAGCGCAGCCCAAAACCGCTGGCATTCTTGCAGAAAGCATGGCACTCACCAACCCCAAAGAAGAGTGGGCAGGTGAAGACAGCAGGTCCCAATCCTGTGCAGGGGATGAGCATTGGCAGCATGCAGGCGCGGAACACAAGCTCCTCTGTGAGTGGCGCGATGACCTGGTTGCGGAGCCAGCGCATGTCGGTCAGACAGAGCACCCAGAAGTGGGGGTCTGGGGAGGGGGAGCAGGAGCAATGTTACCGACAGCCCACCCACCTTGGCCTCTTCAGCAGTGTGGCTGCAGTGCCTCTTTAGACATCAAACAAGGGCATGCTTAGGAGACTGTTCTATGGGGAGAAATCGCCAATCCCTAGAGTGTTTCTATATTAGCAAAGAGAACTGTATTTAATACTACAAGTGCATGTTTACACCCTTCCATTGGATTTAAACCAAGCCTGCTCAACTCTGTGCTCGCACAACTTGGCATTATGTTTCAAGGAACTGGCACGCTCAGCAGACAAGTCAGCCATCGGGTCAGACGTCGCGATTCCCCCAGTTCCCATAAAAGGACAAAAGTTCCCCTTAAGGACAGCCCAGCAGCCTGACTGGCCCTGACTAGCCTAATTTCATCAGAGCCCAGAAGCTAAGAAGGGTCGGCCACAGTTAGTCCTTGGATGGGAGACTGCCAAGGAAGTCCAGGGTTGTGATGCAGAGGAAGGCAAGTCACCTCTGCTCATCTCTTGCCATGAAAACCCCATGGTCCTGGGGTCACCCTGAGTTGTCTGTGACTTGGCAACACACAGTTGTTATTACTAAAGGTAAGCATCTACCGCTGCTGGTATAACAAAAGGAGCATTATGTTATAAGATGCGGAGAAGAAGAGGAGGAGGAGGAGATTGGATTTATACCCCGTCCTTTACTACCTGAAGGAGTCTCAGAGTGGCTTACAATCTCCATTCCCCTCCCCTCCCCACAACAGACACCCTGTGAGGTAGGTAGGGCTGAGAAGAGCCCTTTCGAGAACTGCTCATGAGAGAACAGCTCCGAGACAACTTGTAACTGACCCAAGGTCAGACCAGCAGCTGCATGTGGAGAAGTGGAGAATTAAACCTAGTTCTCCCAGATTAGCGTCTGTGCTCCTAACCCCTACACCAAACTGGCTCTCCCAGTTTGAGGAAAGTACAAGGGGAATGGCTTTTCTACTAAGAGCCTCCTACTCTCCCAAGTACATTCACAGTGTGCAACCTACATGGCCTTACCAAATGCAACCTTTAAACCATCCACCAGGTCCCAAGGGCAATCCATCGACAGCTGGATGAGGGGGCCAAGAAATAAGACCTACAGGAGAACAGACCATGCACACAGAATCAGCATTTGAATTGCCCAAGGCATGAGCCAAAAGTATCAAATCCTGAAACCTCACTGAAGGTATGCAAGTCTGGATCTGGTCCCTGACTTGATAACAGACCTTTTGGGAACTCTACGTACACTGCTTGGAACTCCAAGATGAAAGAAAAGCAAATCTGAATGGTAAAAAATATTTCTTGCATTGTTAAATATGGGTGGGTCGACGACAAAATTAAAGCAAAAATCCCATGGCACTTCAAAGATTAACAAAATTTACTCCAGCATAAACTATCATGATCTATAGTTCACTTTATCAGATGCCCGAAGGGGACATTCATAGCGGAAACATATATACACTTTGTGCAAGCAGATCAACTGAAAGTTTATGCTGAAATAAATTTGGTTAATCTTTAAAATGCCACTCTTTAATTTTACTGCCACAGATTAACAAGGCTACCTTTCTGGAATTACCACAGTGGACAGTCAGTTTAAAAACATTTTCTACAGGGGAGAGCAAGGAGAAACAGGAGGACAAACTTCTCTTTTTAAGGAGTACTGCAGCCTTTTTTTAGCAGCGTAGCCAAGAACACAAAGTGCCACTTTAGTCAAAGAAAGTCAAAAGGAGCTGGGGGCCTCAGGTTTGGCTGACCACACTACCGCTCAGAACACAGACCTCACTCACCATGGTTAGCAGCAAAGGCAGCAGCATTGCTGGTAAGATGCCCTCAAACCGGAAGCCCATCAGAGCAAGAAGGGATGTACCTGGCTGAGCAGAAGAGATGTTTTGATCAGAACCTGGCAAATATTCCCAAACCCATTGATCGACCCTGTAGAGTTCTGCTGACAGTTTGCTGCCCGCAGAAAGCAAGTCACAGGAAGGAGATACATGTACGGTACAAGGAACTGACATATACCAAGCCAGGGCAATGGTGCATCCTGTTCAGAACAGTTTACAATGAGTGGCAGTTGATATCCAAGGTCTGTCACTGGGGGAATGGGGGCTAAGCCTAGAATAAAGTTATAACATACTTTTCCAATATGATCCCACCCACATTTACAAACTTAGGAGTAATTTTTTTAAAAGGACAAATTTACTACGTCATGGTAGTGGTCTTGCAGACTAGAATGGATTCTCTGCATCTCCTGGGCCCTGATAAAGTGAAGTCACTTTCCCTCTCCTGCTTGTGTCTGACACATAAGACCCACTCAACAGAGAAACCTGCGACGTTAACACATCCAAAGCATGTGGTCTACCACTGAGTTACAGACCGTGCCCTGGTTGTTACACAGCAAATAGCTCAAGATTACTTGAGCCCGTGAGCCAATCTCCAACACAGCAAGGGGAGGCAGACAGACACCTTTAATCCAGATGCCATCGGGAAAATTCCTTTTCCAGCCTCAAATGGTTTTTCTTGCATTCAGGGTCAAAGCTATTTCCAAGGAAATGCTATGCCATCCTAATACTACAGTGCTCTCTTGACAGCCCATGAAGACTTGGGTGGAGAATGGTACTCCATGGCCCCATACAAAAGGCAGAGGCAACTCCCACCAAAGAGAACCCTTTCTAAAAATAAAAGGGCACGAGAGCCACCCAAATAAAAATCACACACGATCACAAGATGTCATAGATCTCTGACTGATTTTGGCCAGGAATTTCTAGGCCTGGGCTGGACGACCGTCTCACCTTAACACCTGTCACCTCTTTCCAGACCCAGATGAAGGCTGGCGATAGGCAGGACACAATGAGGACGCTGGTGAATCGCCGTTTGATGACAGCAGGGTGGTCCCTGGAAGGAGAAAGATGGAGTGGGTAACAATTACAGGCAGGTAGGGGAGAGAGAGGCTTCCTCTTCAGAGCAGGAACAGCGGAACCAAGCCAGAAGTCCGGCGCCTAAGTGTCCACTCACAGAAACAATTCAGAAAAGGGCAACTAAAATGACTAAGGGGACAGAACACCTTCCCTATGAAGAAAGGTTAAAGAGGTTGGGGGTTTTTAGCTTGGAGAAACACGATCGAGGGGTGACATGACAGAGGTTTACAAAATCATGCATGGGACAGAGAAGGTAGAGAAAGAAGTACTTTTCTACTTTTCTCACATTACAAGAACTTGTGGACACTTAGGGAAGTTAATAAGCAGTAGGCTTAGAACAGATAAAAGGAAGTACTTCTTCACCCCAAAAGTAATTAACAAGTGGAATTCACTGCGGCAGGAAGTGGTGGGGGCTACAAGCACAGACAATTTCAAGAGACGATTGGATAAACATATGGGGCAGAGCTCCACCTGGCTGGAGCAGGAGTTCTGGCCCTGCTTGTGGACTTCCTGATGGCACCTGGTTTTTAGCTAGTGTGTGACACAGTGTTGGACTGGATGGTCCACTGGCCTGATCCAGCAGTTCAAGGGATGAAAGTGAGTTTGACAGAAGCTGGAAAAGAGGAAGAGTGCCCTCTTCCACAGCCTCTCTTTCATCCTGGCTCACTCCGACCCTCATCATAAAAGCACAGCATGGTTGTCAGCATTGGTGCTACCAAGCAGCAGCATGGCTGCAACTTGCATCGGAAAATCTGAGTATCTCTGCAACTCAGGAATCCTGGTTGTGTGAACAAGCCCCAAGGGAAGCCGGCCACCGACCTCAAACCAGGCCCTGCCTCCCCGCCTGACCCCCACCCCCCCTACCCGCCCCCCCCCCCCCCGAAAGGGCGGTCATGTCTAAACTTTCCCACTGCATTAAAGCATCCGGAATTAGGTCAGCTTGCCTGTCTGTCTTACTTGGGCTCCGTATAAAAGAAAGGGGCCGCTTTGCACCGCGGTAATCTCCTGCCGGAGAGGTCACTCGGGCCGGGGAGGGAGAGCCGGAGCCCCCTAGATCTCACCTGTGGGCAGACAGGTGTTTCCCTATAGGAAGGGACGCCACTCTGCAGGCTGGACCGCGCGTCTCACCTGGGCAGACAGCTGGCCAGGTGGGCCTCCACCGAGCTGAACAGTAACATACCCCCCCGCCGTCTCACCTGGGCAGGTGACTCTTCCAAACATAGAGGCTACCCACGTAGAAACAGGCCAGGCTAAAGCAGGAAAGCAGCGAGGCCCAGCAAAGTCCCGAGCTCGACCCCCCCGGCCCGGCGCCCGCCTCCTCCGACATTGGAGCGCTGGAGGAGAGAGGCAGGCAGGCAGGCAGGGCCGCGTGGAGGATCCCCCGCCTCCCGGCCGGGGAGGAGGAGGAAGCCAGGCAGCCGGGCCGGCAGTGCGGCGGAGGAAGGGACGGGGGCGGGCCAGGCCGGGCCCGCCAAGCGGGTGCAGCGGCGAGACCCCCAGCCGGGGACTCCACCCACCGAACTCCCCCGCGATCATTTCCCATTGCAAGCTCCACCTCCCCGCCTTCCTGCTTGCATGCCCGCCTTGATGACCTGCCTCCACGTCGCAAACAGAATTATTTCCCCTTGTATTAGCAGAGCTCCTGTGTTTTTAATACCTGCAAAGCGGACATGTGCGGCAGAGCTGCAGAAGCTTTTACATGTTACATTTCTGCCTGTCACGCATCCATTTAAGCGCAGGAGCCATCCCCCTTCTCCACAGAAAAGAATATGTAGTGCAGGGAGCAACACGGAACCCGAACTCCGTTTTGTAACTTTCTTCCTGAGCCCTGATAACTTTTTGAAGGCACTGAGAACTTCTCCCCTGCCCCATTCTCTCCCCCAACTTTTCCCTGCCTCTGATTACTACAGAGGGGATAAAGGGGCCTGCCTTTCTTGGTTTTCTAGACGTGGTACGGCTACTTGCTGCTACTGACTCATAATCTTTTTCCTCTGGAATGTTAATTTTCTGTTATGCTCCCTCTAAGCTGTGGAGTCCTGTGAGCAAAAATTCTACTTTGTGAGCTACTGGCATTAAAGTTGTGAGCGAGCAATTTCGCTACTGCGTACATTAGTTTGCTCTGGAGCCATCCTTCCTGAGCTAAGACAAAAATCTGTGAGACGGAGGCTAAAAAAGTGTGAGCTAGCTCACACTAACTCAGCTTAGAGGGAACACTGGTCATCACCCTGGCTATCCTCCTCCATTTATGGGAAGTTCCTCTGCCAGTGCTGTGAGCCCTTCTCCAAGTAATTTTTGTAACAGGGGAAAAAAAAACAGCTAAGGATTTTCTTCCACTTTTATTGTTTACATGCCAAAACACACACAATATTCTAGGGCTGTCTTCATACTGGGACTGCTTTCAGGATGTCCATTCAGACAAGTTTGAGACCTCCTGGTTCCAAACATCATCATTCTGCAAGACACAATAAAAACATCAGGGTGAAGAACCTTCAATCTGCCACCAATGGGCCTCAGCTATATAGAAGCCCTTCCTCAGCTCTCACTAGGCCAGGTAAGTAACGCTTGGAGTCCTGGCCCATTTACTATAATCACATGCCAGATTCTCTGCTCTCCTTACCAAAGGGGCCGGAACCCAGGCATCCGACCTCCCCCTCATTTGACCATTGCCACAGCCAGTAAAACAAAACCCTTTAGAACAGGGGTGTCAAACATGCAGCCCAGGGCGCTGGATCAGGCCCCCAGAGGGCTTGGATAAGGCCCCTAGAGGGCTTCCATCAGGCCCGCAGTGGAACTGGCCATCTCCTGCTTCCAGTTCTGTTGCTGCTGCTGCTGCATCATAGCTTGCTTCTCCAGACTCTCTTAATCACTCTGCCATTTCATGTTTTAACCTGGGTCCTAGACCCAGAAGTCTAAGCATGAGATTTCTGTGGTGAATGTCAATAAATCAAAAGTAGGGTTGCAGCTTACAGAGCTAATGTTTTAAGCATGTTTTAAAGAAAAAAAAAATCTTTGTTTGTGTCCTTTATAAAGTTTATATCTCCTAGGGCTGCCAATTCCCCCCGGGGGGCAGATCCCCCCCCCACTTTGGAGGCCCGATTTCCGCCGCCGTGGAATCGGGCCCCGGGGGAAACCCCACCCCGGCGTGCACGTCACCCGGATGTGACGTGCATGCGGCGCGTGCACGCTAGAGACGCTGTCCGGGAGCCCCCCGCCGGGAGAACAAATGGATTTGGCAACCCTAATATCTCCACTACCTGGCATTACATTTTATGGCATACATGGCCTGGCCCAACAAGGTCTCATTTATGTCAGATCCGACCCTCATAACAAATGAGTTCGACACCCCTGCCTTAGAAGAAGAAGAGTTTGATATATACCCTGCCCTTCACTCAGAGGGGCTTACAATCTCCTTCCGTTCCTCCTCTCCCCTACAACAGACACTCTGTGAGGTAGGTGTGTAGATTTAGATGGGCAGCTATGTTGGTCTGAAGCAGCAAAGTTTGAGTCCAGTGGCACCTTGAAGACCAACAAAGTTTTATTGTGGGGTATAAGCTTTCATGTGCATGCACACTTCTTCAGATGCCTCTAAAAGTATAATACTGTGGTTGTTCCCCTTGAGTCTTTGCAACCCTGTTGGTCCAGCCCAGTTTCTGTGCCTTTAACAAGCAGCCTGACATTAAAGAATTTACCAGGTGCTGCATTTCCCACCCCTTCTGTGACCCATTTCTGTATGTCACAGGAGCCTGACCAGAAGAAAAAAAAAAGCAGTGGTGACCCTATTAGTACCTGGTTTATAAAATGCATAATGATGGAGCTGAACTCTGAATGGCTGGAAGCCGTTCATCCCAGTTTTCTAGAAGCATGCTCAAAAGTCACATTGCTATTTTACAGGTTCCGAACCCTTATCTTGTAAACAGATCCTGGGCCTAAACGGCTGGGGAACCCTAGCTCCAATTGAGACATGTGCTGTCGAGTTCTGAAAACTCTGGACACCTTCTCTCAAATTATTCTGCAAAATATTCACAGACGCAGGTCCTCCACTGGTCCACTGCATGGCCCTGTTTTGTAGATGGGCAAGGTTACCATATTTTGAAGGGGGGGGGGGAAGAGGGCATATTTCCTGACTGACTACTTCAAAGAAGTGATCACTATGACAAATCTCGTTTTAAATACCTCTACTCTTTATGCTGCAATAATTGCTACTAACTAGGAATATTCCTAACCTTCCAGCCCCAAAAGAGGACATTTTCATCAGTTTTCTAAAAAGAGCCCAAAAGAGGATGGACACCAAAAAAAGAGGACATGTCCTCTAAAAAGAGGACATCTGGTAACCCTATCTGAAGGAGATGGGTTGATGCAACTTAGGGCTTTGGCTACTGGCAAATTCTTCTACTCCCCACATGGTATTCTTAGAGTAGGGATGAGGCTTTTCATTCTGCACTCATGTCACAGCGGAATCTTTCTTGACAAACCTGATACGGGTTCTCATCTCTGTTCGCTGACAGAGCTGTGGTCTCTCTTTGGCTTTCGTCTAGGAAAACATGAGGCCTAGTGTTCCTGGGATATGAAAAGGAAGAGCTCAAAGTAGTGCCTAGTTCTGTTAACTGGCCAGTGTTCTTTCCATTGGCTGCTGCTTTCTCAGAGGTTTCTGGGTCTCTGAGATCCTCCCAGGGAAGCTCTTTTCTTGTTGGCCTTCTCTTCTTAATTTGACTCATTCCTTCAAAGTCTGATCTGTCAAGCAAAAGTCCTGCAGAACACAAAACAGACATTGGGCTTACCTGGGAGGGTTCTTTCTGGTCACGGAGAAAGATGGCAAACATCCTGACAGATGGGGAACCCCCTCCTATCATCCCATGAGAGCAGCGTCCTATGACCAAGAAAGATGGCACTCCCCTTGGGTGAGCGTGAACCCACAGCGCACATGTACAGACACGGGAATTCACAAAGCTCCAAGAGCATACAAGGTCAGACCAACCAAACAGTATAATGGGCGTGTTCAAGGAGGGGTCATGGCATCAGCTTGGCATGCGGAAGGCCCCAGCTTCTAGGCTTGGCATCTCCAGTTAAAATGACCAGTTAGTAGTAGGTGATGTGTAGGGCCTCATCCTGAGACCCTGGAGAACTGCTGACAGAGTAAACAATACAGCACTGACCTTGATAGACCAAGGGTCTGATTCACACACTCTCTCTCTCACACACACACACACCCCTCGCATATCATTTAGTGAATCCTGATAGGGTCTCTTGGCCTTCAGAAACTTTCCAGGTATTCTCTAGATGGAGTGCATTTTAAATCATGTCTTAATGTTTGATCATGTTTTTATATAATTTTACGGTTGTTTGCCGTCTTTGGTCCTTCTAGTAAGCCTAAAAATAAACCAGGCTGTCAGCCAGGGTTGCCTTCATTTAATGGAAGACTCCCAGTTATTATACCATAGCACCACCTGCTGAAAATAGAAGAAACAGCCATTTGATGCATTAGTCAACGGGAAGTTTCAAAGGATGACTGCAGCCCCTGAGATTAGTGCATGTCCACCAGTGCAAGAAGGCCTACTGGAATGCCTTGAGCTCCACATCAGGGGTGCCTGGATAATTTAAGCAGGAGCCCAAAGAACAAACAAAGCAGAGCTCCTTGGAATTCAGCAAGGCAGGGAAGCAAAGGGTTAATATTTCAGTTATCTGTTCACTTTTCTATGACTTTTAAAGGGAGTTGAAGACCTTGCATTTAATGAATCTGCTGCTGGCTTCCGTGGTGCATCTTTCTCACACCACACCTATTTTTTTCCATGTTTTCATTTTAGAAGCCAGTTCAGATTCATTTCTGTTGTTGATGATAATCCATAGCATTTATGCAAAGTTCTGCAAGTGCCAACCGCTGCCAAGGTTGGTTTGGGCTCATCGCGTAAATAAAATTATTACTGATCATTCAAACTTCACTAAATTAGCTGCAAAGTAGCCACCTATAGGATCTTCAGGAGGCACCGAAAGTCAGAGAAATCTGTGGAAGACCTAGAAGGAGCAGCTATCTAGAGTCTCAGTTAAGCACCTGAACTTCAAGATCTCTCTCTGTCTTATCTTTTTATACCATAGCATCTCTACTTACCTTCTCCTTCACAGCTTCCCCCTTTTTCCAATCCAGCGGAACTAACACTGGAGCTTGAATGCTGACAGATGGAAGGTAAATCACGGCCTGTGCTCAGCTGCTCCACTCCATCTGTGTTAGACAGTGGCTGAAGAAAAACAAGGGATCCAAATTACATTAGATCAGCCACAGTGTTTTAACTCTTCACACAGCAGCCAACCAGTTGCTGGAAGAGGGGGAAGGGATCCCTCTGTGAGTATCACGGCTCCCTCCCCCTCAAGGGTGCAGCTGCCATCGCCGAGCCCTGTGCAGCTCCCAGCCTCTGCCACCGAGCTCCCTCCCCACTGACACTGATGCTGGTGAGCCCAATGGGGCTCTCAACCCCCCTCCACCCTCACAACTGCTGCCAGCAAGCCCAGCACGGCTCCCAGCCTCCCTCGCTTGGTCTGCAGCAGCTCCTGCCCCAGTCACCACCAGGGCCTCGGCAACAGAGGTCGGTGTGTTATCTGCACAGGCACAGACAACGCTTTTGTTTTGTGGGGATTTAAACCCCCCCAATGTAATTTTTAAGTATTTCATATTTTTCTGTGAACCTTGGAGGCCCCCAAGTTTGGAGGGAAATCGCCTTTCTCTCAGCACTTGAGAAATAGATATGTAGATAATTTTAGTGGAAGATGGACTTCTTGTCTGTAGTGTCTGTACATAAGACAGACAGAGAGACAATATAAGGAAGGGTCAGCAAGAGCACTAAAGCGGAGAAACTTGCCCTTCTGTTGTCACATGTGCTACTAGGCTTCCATCGTTGAAGGATGACTTTGCTGAAGGTCTTTTTGGCTGTTGCCGAGAACTGCTGGGTATCTGCAACCTATAGATAAAATGGTATGTATTGCCAAGCAATGGTATGTATTTCTCTCCTTTACATCCTGCTTGAGTTGGAAACAGATCAATTCCAATTACCCTAAAAGGAGTAGCTGGGGAGCTTCTTTCATTTAATTTCTTAGCATCTTGGATATGCTAGCCACCTTATCGGATCTTTGCCCTCTCCTCTCGCAGGTTAGCATTTGAGCTCTGAATGTTTTAGCTTGCAGATTTATTTATTTTACTGTACAATCACTTCCCCCTCCTTTTGCATTTCCATCACACAACTGAGTCCATGGGAATAAGTTAAATAAAAAACAAACTTGCAAGCCAATTTTGATTTGCACTTATTTATTTACTTGGTTTTTATGCCATCCAGTCCAATAGCTCAGTACAGTGTTTATAAAGCATCTATTAAGACTCACTGCAGGCTATACCTGTAAGCGCTGAAGGCACCTCCTTCTGAACTCACTGTCAGTGCTGCTTGAAATGATGGCTGACATGGCTTCTAGCATGATGGACAAAGAGCTCGCTAGTTTCTGCTGTTCCTGCCAAGACACAAGAACATTTCATGGACTCACAGCCTATACCATCCCAGTGCAAAGTAATCTGTCTAATTCGGAAGGGTCGAACTCATTTGTTACGAGGGCTGGATCTGATATAAGTGTCACTTTGTCAGGCTGGGCCACGTGTGCCATAAAACATAATGCCAAATACAGGAAATATAAACATAAAGGACAGCAGCTGGGAAGCTCCGAGTTGGTGTGCACACTGCAAGGCCCCTATAATATACTGGGTCCGATGCATGATGTAGTAAAATCAGCTCATAAGTTTATCAAATAGTGCAGGAACAAGACAAAAGTAGCTGGCTCGCAGGCTGGCTTTTATTCCTGTAGTGTATTGAAACGGCTTACATGAATCGCCGCATTGACTCCCCATGTTAAGCTCGAGCCAGAGGAAGGCTCCTCCGAGCTAACGTGCTATTGGTCGCTCCTCAACAGCGACCAATCAGAACTGCACCTAGTCCCTGCGAGGGAAGAACTCTCATTGGACTTTATCCACTCAACCTCATTGGTTGTTTATTGTAGAGGCGTGGCTACGTTAGCCCGGGAATGTTTAAAAGGAGCCTAGCTCCCAATGTTAAGTTGTTCTGGTTATGACTTCTTTCAAGCGCTTGTTCGTACCTTCAATAAAGCTGTTCACTTTTGCTGAAATCACTCTCCGGATCTTTGTTAGCGGCGATCTAACAATTCCCAAGGGACAACCACACCCAACACCCGTGATTGGTCTATTTACATTACTGGCTAACAATAGGTTAACTAAAGGAGCCTAGCCTCCCGATTGGCGGGGACTAGGATCTGACAATCTATTGTTCCTGTGTGCGAAGCTCACGTTCTTCGCCCGACCACGTGCGGACCAATCTCGCATGGGGTCGATTAGGACACAACAGTCCCATGGGGGGGGGTGTAGAGGAAACCCCACATGGGTGAACTGGAGAGTCAGGGGTGCAGCACTGGGCAGATGCTCCCACGCTGTCTGGAGGGGGTGCAAACCCCTTCCCTAGCCCACTCCTGCCGCCAATGCTGTGAGCCCAGGCCTCGGGGTAAAAAAACAAAGTGGCTGGCCCCCGAGCCACCATGGGAGGGGATGTCATGGGCATGGATGAGGATGAGCTGACAGAGCCTGCAGAAACCACAGCTGGCCCCTCTGAAGCAGCAGAGGAGGATAGCTGGCAAATGCCTGTGACAGCAGTCTTCACACCTGGCCCAGATAAGAAGGAAGAACTGCAAGCTGAAAGTCCTCCTGACTCACCTCCACATGTGACTCGTTTAAGGGAGCGACTGTGACAAAACTTAGCAAGCAGACGAAGAGAGGCCAGGCTACAAGGGAGACGCTCAGCCAGCCCAGAGTTCTAACAGGAGCCTGGCTGTTAGATCGGGCTAACAAAGGACTCGTAGAGTGATTTCAGCAGTGATTCAGCTTTATTCGAACAAGCACTCAAACACATTAGAAACCAGAACCGCAAAACATTGGAGCTGGGCTCCTTTTAAAACAACCGGGCTAATATAGCCACTCCCACTATGTACAATAACAACCAATCAGATTGCAAGGATAAAGACAAATCAGAGGTCTTCCCGCTCAGGGAACAGCTTATCCGTGATTGGTCGCTGTTTAGAAGCAACCAATAGCTTTTCAGCACAACGGAGCCTTGGCTGGCTCGAAGCTTAACATGGGAGTTGGATTAGGTGATTCATGTTATATTTGCCAATACATAACACTGGCCAATCATGCAGCTGGCTAATTGGTAGCAGCATTTAACTCCACACTCTGGGCAGTACCCTTTGTGGAAGCAACAAGTCAGCTTCGTGCCGCTAGCATCCACTCCGGCTTGGCTCTTGCACCTAGACCTTTGGACCCCCTGGCTTTGGACTTGGCTCTGTGTTCCTGGCTCCTGACTATGGCTTGGCTTTGGACTATGTTTCTGGTTAGTGATTTGGACTTGGCTCTGTGTTTCTGGCTCCTGACCCCGGCTTGGCTTTTTGGACTTTGCACTGTCTTCTTGGCTCCTGACCTTGGCTTGTTCTGGACTCCCTTTGACTGGCACCCCAGCCCATGACATATTGCTTCCACCCCAACATGCTCGCTCCACAAGATGGAAGAAGGGGCAAGTGGTGGCTCTGAACCTCTGGCAGACCTGCTCAACCAGGTGCAGCACCTCTCGCAACTGGTTTTTCACCTGCAACAGCAACACCGAATACAGCAAGCTGCCACCGCCGCCGCTGTTGTGCCACCCAAATGTACTCAGTGCCTTATGTGAGCCGCCCTGAGCCCGTTCGCGGGGAGGGCGGGGTATAAATATAATAAAATAAATAAATGCCCGATAAGCCCGCCTGAAGAGTTTGGTGGTAATGTGGAGGAGTTTCCGGCCTTTCTGGCACAGTGTAAACTCTACATTGAGCTGTATGTTAGAGACTTCCCTGACAACAAAACCAAGCTATGCTTCATCATTAGCTTGTTAAAGGGACAGGCAGCCAAATGGGCCATGCTCTCACTTGTGGCTCAGTCCCCACTTTTGAGTGATTATACCGGTTTCCTTGCTTATCTGTCTACCAGCTTTGCTAACCCCCAGCAAGCAGCAGTAGCAAACAGAAAAATCCAGACCCTGAAACAAGGCAAAGATTCAGTTGCTCAGTAGTCCACTGAGTTTAAACTGCTGGCCCAAGACCTAGCCTGGAATGAGGCTGCACTCATGGACCAATATATGGAAGGCCTGGCAGATGAGGTCCTGGATGAATTGGCAAGGGTGGAGCGACCTCCCACACTGCAAGGACTAATCACCCTGTGCCTCCGTATCGATGGCCGCCTAGAAAGTCGACGCCAAGCCTGAAGTAGCAGTTGCCTGCTGCCTGTTTCCCTGCCGTTCCCAGCCACCTCCAGCACCGCAGGAGAGTTGTGTGAGCCCATGCAACTGGGAGCTGCACGACCTCGCCTAACCCCCAAGGAGAAGGCAAGACCCCGGTCTCAAAACCTCTGCCCTGTGAAACAGCCCCGCCCCAGCCCACCACCACTCACACCAAAAGAACAGCCCCAAGCCTGAACGGACTCTCTGGCCTGGGGCATTTAGCTGGGTCCTCGGAACTCTACGCCCAGGACCACGGCCTGTTCTTGGTCCTTGTCAAGCTTCACATACCACACTGACGCTGGTTGCTCGTGTATGCCATGCTGGACTCGGGAGCAGCCCGGTGCTTCATAGACACCACCTTTGTCAAACAGCACCAGATCCTGGTACAGACCAAGGAGACGCCAACGTTGGTAGAGGCTATCGATGTGCACCTTCTCCACTCGGGCCCAGTAACCCAGGAGACGTGCCCCTTCACCCTCCAGATCTACCAGCATCAAGAGCAAGTCCAATTTGATGTTGCACGCATGCCTCGCTTCCCACTCATCCTGGGTCCGTCCTGGTTAATGACCCACAACCTTGTTCTGGACTGGGCTCGGCATGAGCTACGCTTCCAAGAACCATGCTCCCACCTGGATCCGCCCTCTACGCTCGTGGCTGCCGCCACGGTTGGCAATCCTCAACTCCCTCAGAAATACGTGGACTTTGCAGACATCTTTGAGTAGAAGGAGGCCGATCAGCTCCCCCCTCACCAACTGTATGATTGCGCCATCGACTTGGTGCCTGGGGTGCCTCTGCTGGTGGGGCACCTGTACCCCATGTCAGAACCCGAGTTAGCTGCTCTACGGGACTTTCTGGCTAAGAACTTGCAGCGCGGCT